AAAAAAAAAAAAAAATATATATATATATATATATATATGTATATATATACTATTAATTTTAACTAAAAAATGTTTTTCTCACAATGAAGAATATTAAACTGAACAGCTACCTCAGCCATCACTAAACATTGTAAGTTAACCACAAAGAGCATCCCTACTTAGATTTGCATCATGCATCTTACATTTTAATGTCTTTATTATTTAATAGAAAAAGTAATAAATAATGCTCACCTAATAAAAAAGAATCTCTCATATTTTTCATGCAGGAACAATTCACCACGTTTTCACATGTGAATACAATAGGAATAAAGATACAGTCATCAATTTAAAGTTGAATTACATCCTTATTCATGTACCCAAAAAAATCTTTTTTCAAGAAAAAAAGTATACTTTGGCTCGACACAGCAGCACACATCTCTGTCATCCTAACACTTTTGGAGGCTGAATCACCTGAAGTCAGGAGTTCCAGACCAACTTGGCTTAATGGTGAGACTCCATCTCTATTAAAAATACAAAAGTTAGCCAGGCATAGTGGCTCATGTCTGTAATCTCAGCTACTTGGGGGGCTGAGGCAGGAGATTCACTTGAACCTGGGAGGCGGAGGCTGCACTCCAACCTAGGTGACCAAGCAAGATTCTGTCTTTAAAAAAGTATATTTTGAATGTAATTATAGCTCTCCAAAATATCTTATACCCTTTTAAAGTTATATAAAAAATATTTATGTATCAACTTCAACTTTAAATTATGTTCTAAACTCAGTACTCTGATTTAGTGTAGTGTTGGAAGTCAGTTCCTTAGATATTTGTACTCTGAATATTTACATAATTTTCAAATAACTAATTTTTTATATCACATCTGCAAAAATATATTTTAGTATGAACTCTCTGGTGTTTCCTAAGTTGTAGTCTGTGTTTTAAAAAGTTTTTCAAAATTTATTACATTTGCAGAGATTTCTTCAATATAAATTCCCTGATGTTGAACAAAGTTTGAGTGAAGTTTGTACAAAATGTGTACAATAAGATCTGTCATATAAGTAATAGTAATACAACACTGTGTCTCTTCTCTCTCTCTCTCTCTCTCTCTCTCTCTCTATATATATATATATATATACACATAGTTTTTTTTTTCAGATCAAGTCTCACTCTTTCACCCAGGCTGGAGTTCAGTGGCACAATCTCAGCTCACTGCAACCCCTGCCTCACAGGTTCAAGCAATTCTCCTGTCACAAGCTCTCAAATAGCTGGGATTAGTCGTGTGCCACCACGCACACCTAATTTTTGTATTTTGGGTAGAAACAGGGTTTCACCATGTTGGCCAAGTTGGTCTTGAACTTCCAACCTCAAGTGATCCAACCGCCCCGGACTCCAAAGTGTTGAAATTACAGATGTGAGTCACCACACCCAGCTCGTATTTTAATGTTTGTCTTCAAAATAAATAAATACTCTTCTTCACTTTAAAGGCTTGCAGTTTCTGAAAAATCTTTTGACAACAATTTTTCTTTTTTGACATGGAATCTTGCTCTGTCGCTCAGGGAGAGTGCAGTGGCGTGATCTTGGCTTACCGCAACCTCTTCCTCCTGGGTTCAAGTGATTCTCTTCCCTCAGCCTCACAAGTAGCTGGAACTACAGGCATGCACCACCAAACCCAGCTAATTTTTTTGTACTTTTCGTAGAGATGGGGTTTCATCATGTTGGCCAGGCTGGTCTCAAACTCTTGACCTCAGGTGATCCACCTGCCTCAGCATCCGAGAATGCTGGGATTATAGGCATGGGCCACTGTGCCCAGCCAAAGCCATAGTTTTTTCAGCATCAGTTAAAAGTTTTGCCATATTCTTCACACTTGTAGGTTTTCTCCAGTACAAAGTATTTTACCTACAACCAAGTATGACAACCATTTATCTTTGTAATATTCTTTCCATTTTTAGGATTTTGCACCAGCATTATTTCTTTTACATTTAGAAAAGTTGAGGTGTTGTCAATTGCATTGTTACATCTTCAGGTTTGTACAGTTCCTCTCCAGTAGGAATTATGTCTGCTAAGAATTAAGGACTTGTTAAAGGCTTTGCCACATTATTCACACTTCTGGGTTTCTCTCCAGCATAAATTATCTTATGTGTTGTGAGTTCACGATCGGTTAAAAGCTTTGCCACATTCTTTATAAGATTTTTCTACAGCATGAATTTTCTTATGTGTAGTAAGGTTTGAACATTGGTTAAAAGCTTTGCCACATTCTTTACATTTATAGGGTTTCTCTCCAGTATGAATTACCTTATGTTTAGTGAAAGTTGAAGACCAGTTAAATGCTTTGCCACATTCTTCACATTTGTAGGGTTTTTCTCCAGTATGAATTCTCTTATGTTCCATAAGGTTTGAAAACCAGTTGAAGGCTTTGCCACATTCTTCACATTTGTAGTGTTTCTCTCCAGCGTGAATTGCCTTATGTGTAGTAAGGGTTGAGAACTTATTAAAGGCTTTGCCACAATCTTCACATTTGTAGGGTTTCTCTCCAGTATGAATTGCCTTATGTTTAGTGAGAGTTGAGGACCATTTAAAGGCTTTGCCACATTCTACACATTTGTAGGGTTTCTCTCTAGTATGAACTATCGTATGTTGAGTAAGGTTTGAGTATTGGTAAAAACCTTTGCCACATTGTTCACACTTGTAGGGTTTTTCTCCAGCATGAATTATCTTATGTCTAGCAAGGGTTGAGGATTGGTTAAAAGCTTTGCCACATTCTTTACATTTGTAGGGTTTCTCTCCAGTATGAATTTTCTTATGTGTAGTAAGGTGTGATGATAGGTTAAAAGCTTTGCCACATTCTTCACATTTGTAGGGTTTCTCTCCGGTATGAATTGTCTTATGTGCAGTAAGGGCTGAGAGTTGCTTAAATGCTTTGCCACATTCTTCACATTTGTAGGGTTTCTCCCCAGTATGAATTATCTGATGTGTAGTAAGTTGTGAGAACTGGCTAAAGGCTTTGCCACATTCTTCACATTTGTAGGGTTTCTCTCCCGTATGAATTCTCTTATGTGTGGTAAGGTGTGAGGATGTGTTAAAGGCTTTGCCACATTCTTCACATTTGTATGGTTTCTCTCCAGTATGAATTCTCTTATGTTGAGTAAGCGTTGAGGACACATTAAAGGCTTTGCCACACTCTTCACATTTGTAAGGTTTCTCCCCCGTGTGAATTCTCTTATGTTGAGTAAGGGTTGAGGACACATTAAAGGCTTTGCCACATTCTTCACATTTATAAGGTTTATCTCCAGTATGAATTCTCTTATGTTTAGTAAGGTTGGAGGATTGGTTAAAAGCTTTGCCACAATGTTCACATATGAAGGGTTTCTCTCCAGCATGAATTTTCTTATGTCTAGTAAGAGTTGACAATTGGTTAAAAGCTTTGCCGCACTCTTTACATTTGTAGGCATTCTCTGCAGTATGAATTATCGTACGTGTAGTAAGGTGTGAGGATACGTTAAAAGTCTTGCCACATTCTTCAGTTGTGTAGGATTTCTCTCCAGTATGAATTATCTTATGTGTGTTAAGGTGTGAGGACTTGTTAAAATCTTTGCCACGTTCTTTACATTTGTAGTGTTTCTGTCCTGTATGAATTCTTTTATGTTGAGAAAGGGTTGAGGATACACTACAGGCCTTGCCACATTCTTCAAGTTTGTAGGAATTCACAGTAGTGTGAATTTTTTCATGTTGAGTTAGGTGTGAAAGAATGCAAAATGATTTGCCACACTGTTCACACTTGAAAGGATTCTTTTCCGTCTTATGTCTATTTGAATTTGAAAACGTATGAAAGTCTTTCACATATTTATCACATTGAAATATTTTGCTCTGGGTAGTTGTCAAACACTGTCCGTTAAAACTTCCTTTGGACACCCTATACTCATCCACGCCTTTATGCCCTTTTTTTAACTGTAAATTGTGATATCCAGATTTTTCATATTTTCTCAGTATTATTGTTTGGAAAGAATCTTTTACACTCTCCGCTAGCCAAAGGTCTTGGGCAAAATAGGAACACATTCCTGAAAGAAATAAAAATAACAACTGAATCCACATACTACAGTCAGATACATATTCTTTACAAGTCTGATCTATAAAATTATACAAACTACATAAACAAGATTGCATAACAAGTCTGGGTGTGGTAGCTCATGCTTGTAATCCCAGCACTTTGAGAGGTTGAGGTGGGCAGATCACGTGAGGTCAGGAGTTTGAGACCAGTCTGGCCAACATGGTGAAACCCATCAAAA